TGGAAAAAAAAAAAAAAAAGAAAGAAATGCCTTTAATCTTGCAACTACACCATAATCATATGGCCCCAGGTGCCAAGGAAAACATTTCTTATCATGAATAGAATGTTATTAGTAATATCTGTTTCAAACCTCAGACCAGGAGGGGTTAAAAAAAAAAAAAGAAGAGAAAACAACCCCACAACATGGAATTCCTGTATTTCAGCTCAGCCACTCTCTTCTGCCCTTTTATCTGGCTTCCGAAATTCGCAGAGGACTTTGAAGTGGGCTGGAAGGCAGCCGGTACCAGACAGCTCCCACACGCCCTCATACCTTTCATTCCAGCGGCTCCTCGTTGCTTAACGCCTCAGAAACCCTCGTCAACACGGGGAGAGCCAAATCAAGAGCCAAACCAAGCCTTCCAGCCCGGGGACTTCCACTCTCCTCCACCAGCTCCTCGCCAGGAAGGACCCTCTTTACAGACAGAGCCTTATCCCTCCCGAAACGCAGCTCCGGAATATTAAGCACTGCGTATTAATTAAGTGCTGGGGTACCCTAAAGTGCAACCCCCCTGTTCATTTACCGCCACCACACGTGCTCATTTACCACTCAATGACACACAAACCACTTTAGGGCCAGCAAAGAAAATTATCAGCCCCACACACCAATTTTTTTTGTCTAGGGCTGGAGCCGCAGACTCCCCGACTCCACAGAACCGATAGGAAGAGCCGCCTGGGAAACACCAGCTTCTTCCTCCTCACCAGCTGGTACGAGAAGTGAAGGGAGGGAGCAGGGCATGCAAATCTGCCTCTCCATCAAAGCTGCACTCCAGCCCTTTGGAGGTGCACTGGAAGCAATGAAAGAGAACAGGAGTTTTGCTTCCGAGAAAATTCAAAACTAAAGAGGATTTGCTGAAGGAGATGAATTCAGGAACCTGCTACAGAGGAACACGTTGGAGAGAAACGATCCCCCGAGCACCACGCTCCAGTCTGGTGTCACCCCCGAAGCTACAGGAGCACCAGGGAAGGGACTGTTCGAGACACCAGGCTCTGTCAGGCGGCAAAGGGGAAGCACGATCCGTTTCCCTTTCATACAAGCCAGCACCGGGCACTTTTGTTCTAAACCTCGTGATTTCTAGGAGCATCCTGCGCTCTGCGGTGTCACAACAATTCCCTCTGCCCCGGGGAAAAGAGTAGCCCTCGTTGGAACGGCATCCGAAATGCAAACTGTGTGTTCAGCAAAAGGTGGCCTTGCACCAGAATGCAGCCGTGGCTTTGAGGAGAATGAACGGCACACTGACAGCCTCCCCCCACATTACAAAATCTTATTAATTTCATTTAGCATGTTACTGTGCCCCTGTTAATCAACAGGCATTTTATCTTCCAAATAAAACCAGCCCTTTACAGGTATCCATCACCACAACCTGCAGTGAGGGGCTGGGAGGACCGACACTAACAACTTGAAATGACAGGAATTTTCCCAGAAGCCTCAAAGTTGGGTGTTTTATTCCCTTTCCTCTATTTTCCTTCGGTCAGACACGAAGCAGCGCTGCCAGCGTGGTGGCACTCGCCTCGCAGAAGGGCACATCACCCCCGCAGTGTAAACACATCGGTGCTTGACACAGCCTTAATGACAGCCAGGTTGTAATTAAGCCCCGACGGCTTTGTTAGGAAACGCGAGGCAGACTGGGCTTCGGCCCCGGCGCTGTGAATACCTGGCTGTGCTCAGGTGAGGGAGAGGAGGAAGGTGACTCACCGCCCACATTACAAGGCTGCTGACTCCCAGTAAAACCCTCCCAGTAACCACCCCCGGGATTTCAGGGCAGGGTCCCGGTGTTTATGTTGAAAGGAGGGGGTATGACACAGAGCTGGCATTAAAGGACGAGTCTCCCGGCTCGGTGTCCTGCTGACGACAGCGAAGCCGGCCCATGGAAGGCTGAATTATCTGCCCTTACACACGCTTGGGCTCTGCCAGGTATTTATTAAGAAAAACACCCAAACAGCTGCCTGCAGCCCGTGTTTGTTCCCTGTGGGAAAGCAAAGACCTTTTAAATACGTGAAGCTTCCTGGGTGAACCCGGCTGTCCCCAGTGTGCACTGTCAGCACTCGCAGGCAAATACGTCAAAATCAAACCCAAACCCGTGGCAGGACCAGCCAAAAAAGCACCAGCCATGTTTCCTCAGGCTGGCCCAGCAGCCGCAGGACCCCCCACCTCTTCCAGGGGGGCTGGCACCCTGGAGCCATGGGGGGCCACTCCGTACCAGGAGGGATCCTGTCCTGAGGAGTCACCCCACGGGCCTCCACAGGGCTTCAGGGGTCCCTGTGGGGCTCAGGGGCCCCCCACCGATCTCCACACCCCTGTGGGGCTCAGGGGTCCCCTCACAGACCCCCACACCCCTGTGGGACCCAGAGACATCCCATGGGGAACTGGGGTCCCCACTGTAGGACCCAAAGAGCCCCCCTCCATCCCTCTCTCTGGCCTCTGTGGGACCCAGAGGCCCCCCAACCCCTCTCTGAGGCCTCCGTGGGATCCAGAAGGCCCCCCCATATCCCTCTCCCTGGCTCCCGAGGGACCCAGACCCTCCCCATCCCTCTCTATGTCCCCTGTGGGACCCACAGACACCCCCCCATCCCTCTCTGTGGCCCTTGTGTGACCCACAGACCCTCCCACCCCTCTCTGTGTCCCCTGTGGGACCCTCGAGGCCGACGAGGGCGCGGTGCAGCACGGTGAGGCGGAGGGCGGCAGGCCGCGGCGGCGGCGGCAGCTCGAAGGTGGCCTCCTCCCGCCACAGCGGCTGCCCCTGGCACCGCTCCGCCACCGAGGTGGAGAACTTGTCGCGGCCCAGCGCCATCACGGCGTAGGCATCGCTGCCGCCGCCGCCCGCCGCCGCCTTGGCCCGCAGCCCCCGCGCCCGCAGCACCGTCACCTGCACGTGGGTGGGCGCCCAGGCCGGCACCGGGCCCGACATGGCGGCGGGAGCGGAGGGGAACGGAGCGGGAACGGAGGGGAGCGGGAGGGGAAGGGAGCGGTGAGCCGCCCGGTGCGCTCCCGCCACGCCCCGCCCCTCTCGCGAGAGCACGGGGCGGGGCCGGAGGTGGGCGGGGCCTCGGCGGCGGTGGGCGGGGCCTGGGGCTTACAGGTGTTTGTGTACAGGTGTGTATGTACAGGTGTGTATGTACAGGTGTTTGTGTACAGGTGTGTGTGTACAGGTATTTGTACAAGTGTGTGTGTACAGGTGTATGCAGGGGTGTATGTACAGGTGTCTATATGCAGGTGTTTGTGTACAGGTGTGTACAGGTGTGTGTACAGGTGTGTGAAGGATTGTATATACAGGTGTGTGTGTACAGGTGTGCCCGTACAGGTGTATGTACAGGTGTGTACAGGTGTGTACGTACAGGTGTCTATATACAGGTGTGTATGTGCAGGTGTGTAGAGGTGTGTGGCCTTACATGTGTTTACAGGTGCATGCAGGGGTGTGGCATGTACAGGTCTGTGCAGGTGTGGATTTACAGGTGTCTATATACAGGTGTGTATGTGCAGGTGTGGGTGTACAGGTGTTTATATGCAGCTGTGTATGCACAGGTGTGTGCAGGGTTGTACAGGTGTGAACAGTATAGGCACAGGTATATACCTGCCTGTGTGGCAGTGTACAGGTGTGTACATGTACAGGTGTGTGAATGGGCATGTGTGTGCCCAGGGGTGTATGTGTGTCTGTGGGGGGTGTTTTGTGCACGTGTGGGGCTGTATGTCTGTACAGTGTGTGTGGGTCTGGGGGCTACAGGAGCCTGTGTGTACAGGTGTGTGTGTGTGTGTGTGTGTATGATAGGCACAGGTATATACCTGCCTGTGTGGCAGTGTACAGGTGTGTACATGTACAGGTGTGTGAATGGGCATGTGTGTGCCCAGGGGTGTATGTGTGTCTGTGGGGGGTGTTTTGTGCACGTGTGGGGCTGTATGTCTGTACAGTGTGTGTGGGTCTGGGGGCTACAGGAGCCTGTGTGTACAGGTGTGTGTGTGTGTGTGTG